ATCAATACAAAAATAGCAGTAGGCCTTATATTTTTTATTTCGTATTTGAAGATGTATTGTATAATTAAATGTATGTTAAAAAACATTATTACATACTTTTATACCGTTTTATACTTATATATTCGACTGCAATTACGATTTATCGGTTTGTATTTTTCTATGTTGTTTTGTACACAGATAGCAGTCATTGTGAAAAAAAAAATGTTTGGATTTATACAAAAAGGTTTTGATAACTTAAGTTCGTATGACGCTGATAGGCTGGCATTCGAAACGTTGTAGTTGTATTTTTTGGTTTGACTAGTCCTCTTCGTCTTTGTTACTTCTTGTGTGCTGGATCGTTACCTGGGTGCCAGAGTTTAAGATGTGCTTTTAGCTGTTTCTTTGTTGTAATGACAGCGTCTGGGGTCTCACAATATGAACACTTATAGGTTATTACCTTTGTGTATTTTGTTGTAACACTGTGCATGTTTGTCTTCATCTCTAGAACCAGACACTGATGTACTACATACCTGCCGTGTGTGTGTGTGTAAGTCAGCTGACCAGTGTGGTCAACACAAATGTTATTGTTTACCTAAGTTCTCTTGTATTTACCACATTGTACAGCTTCAAGGTTCTCACAAAATTAAGACTTGTGTCGTTTTCTTGGTGACATGGTGGATCACTGCTAGACGCTAGTTAAACCTTTGCTGGACACATGTTGGATCACTACTAGACGCTAGTTAAACCTTTGCTGGACACATGTTGGATCACTGCTAGACGCTAGTTAAACCTTTGCTGGACACATGTTGGATCACTGCTAGACGCTAGTTAAACCTTTGCTGGACACATGTGGGATCACTGCTAGACGCTAGTTAAACCTTTGATGGACACATGTGGTATCACTGCTAGACGCTAGTTAAACCTTTGCTGGACACATGTGGGATCACTGCTAGACGCTAGTTAAACCTTTGATGGACACATGTTGGATCACTGCTAGACGCTAGTTAAACCTTTGCTGGACACATGTTGGATCACTGCTAGACGCTAGTTAAACCTTTTCTGGACATATGTCGGATCACTGCTAGACGCTAGTTAAACCTTTAATGGACACATGTTGGATCACTGCTAGACGCTAGTTAAACCTTTGCTGGACACATGTTGGATGTTGGATACTAGATGGTATGACAGATGATAGATTATTGTTTGTGTAACATACATTAGGGACTAAAGCTGGAGACCAAATGGAACAACACTGGACCCATTATAGATACTGTCTAGGAACAGAATTATATAGATTAAGATTAAGATACAGATTAAGACGTTACTAAAGAATTGTTGGTGTAGGTTTAATTATTTTTTTTTAATAAAATCATTCATGTTGTTTATAATTATTTATTTTCATTATGATAAAAGTTATTACATCGCTTATATAGCACCAGATTGTTACACGATTTATACCACTTGTAATAGTGTTGAGAAAATGCAATAATTATGTGAAAATATGTTGACATTATTTAAAATACAGTAGAAAAATAAATAGTACACTTAGTTGTCCTACTAAAGTCTTCGTTTGATAGTAAAATACACGTAACATAAGTAATGTATAACTATTTAATGTTAACTCTGTCTTAGTGATTAACTTGCCAACAATCTTCACCGTTGAAGTAAAATACCTGACTGTCCAGTAAAAAAAAAAAACAAACACGTGTGTATGTATAATATATTCGATGATTACTGTTTAATCTAACAGGCCAAAATGACAGAGACACATGAACACGATTTAAAAAGACGCAGCCAATGCTAACTAAAAGCCACCTCATTGCTCTTAACATTCCTGCACTATTGAGATAACTGTGACAACAGATGGGGTTTGTCGTTAACAACTCTCTAACGATCCACACATTTCATATGCCACTGTTATTACTCTAGATACAAAGAGCTGGTCTAATGAATCTAAACCAGTATGACGTTTTAGCAGGACCAACATTTATTTCCCCACTGTCTGGAAATCAAGTTGACCATCTGGATAGTGTCAATGTCTGGAAATCAAGTTGACCATCTGGATAGTGCCAATGTCTGGAAATCAAGTTGACCATCTGGATAGTGTCAATGTCTGGAAATCAAGTTGACCATCTGGATAGTGTCAATGTTTGGAAATTAAGTTGACCATGTAAATTTCATATTTCACATATGTAAAAAGTAATTAACCTAGCAATTTTTTAAATAAATGTTATTGAGGAAAAAAAAAAAGAAAAAGAAATATTGTTTGCTGTTTATCATCTAAGCTTGACTGAAATAACAAACAACAGCATAACATTTTTTTATCAGATAGAAATATGGTACTGCTACAAGTTTCAAATGTATTTTGCACTTAAAATGTTAATATTTTAGAAGATATGCATTTTCCTGTGCGCATGTTTTCTTTTTTCCGCCATTTTGACAAGTCCTACAACATTTTTTAAAATTATTTTTTTTCACAAAACACACACGAATTCAATAGTTTAGCCATTTTCAAATACAATGAATCATAATTTGTGTTTTAACTAGTTTTTAACAAATTTTAGCAATTTTTTTTTTTACAAGCGTCCCATAAGTGGGACGCTAGCAGAATATGGGTTAACATATACACAGTTCTTCTTCTTCGTTCTTAATTATTAGTGTTGAGGCGGATCGAGATTTATCTGCCAGTGGGTTTTATCGAGACTTTGTTCGAATTTATCAACCATGAGCTTTTTGCCGACTCGACCACGCCTCCAACACAATTAAGCGTTACGTGTCAACTGGTTATGCGCCATTGAGGCCATTGACTCCGATTTCAGCCTGCTTTTCTTTTTGGATTTGCTTCCATAGCCTTTGTCCAACCAAGAACAAACTACAAGGCAGCAGTTGTTTTTAATTTTTGGAGTTGTCTCTCCTAGAAGAGTGGCTGTCCCCAGCTAACGAGCCTCATCTGCCCGAGGGTTCGAACTCAAGACTTTTCGGTTTAGCAACCATGAACTTTACCGACTCGACCACGCCGACCCCCATATACACAGTTTATCAAGTCCTAATTCTAACTGTCTAATTTGCTGTACTATATTATACTTCCAGCTAACTAATATCCAGTTCAATTATATTATCACCTAACAATATCTAACTGCAACTGCTTCCTAAACACACTTAACCTCTGCACGCTATACTGACCAACTCTAACAATATCTACATTTCAGCTGTCCTTTTCACCAACTCTAACACTATCTACATTTCAACTGTCCTACACGCTCTACTGACCAACTCTAACACTATCCACATTTCAACTGCCCTGCATGCTCTACTGACCATTATCTACATTTCAACTGTGCTACACGCGCTTCTGATCAATATGATTTGTAAAGGAATATATTTGCAAGCATCGGGGACTTTATGGAAAATATGGTTGACATGGCATTTGAATAAATAAGACGAACGATCTATGCGGTTAAATTAAAGTTGTTCCGATGATACTATTCCGTGACATTTTTTTAAAACGATAATACGTACATGCACGCTATAATTATCAGACAATAAAATAACCACACCTTAGTCAAGCAGAAACAATATAATAAAAGTGAAACGAACTGACCTGCCACGTGTGACGGTCAGTTGACCAAGCGTTAGGAGTTGGTCAGTCTAACGTGTAGAACATAGTCGCATATCATAAAGTAGTTGGAGATTGATTACAGTTAGGAATAGTCCCTATGTGCCCATATACACTGTAATATTATTTTGCTCTTGGAACTTTGGAGACGAAGGTAAATACAACTAACAAATACCGAAGAGATTCAATATGATGGCGGATATCCAATTATTCTTACGGGACGAGTAGGATTGGAAAAAAGTGTTCCTCTTTTTATTTGTCCTTAAAGTATCTGTCGAATTTCAGAGTGTATAATTTTTTTTTTTTTTTTTTTTTTTTAACAGTCAATCTTTATTACATGGTACTGTAAACACCTCAGTTTTACAATATATCATTGTGGAGACCAGGTCTTTGTATCTGATAACATAATCTCAAGTCCTAGCAACACATGTACTTCAACTTGTAAGCCATTTCTCTATTCCAACTACAGTCATGGTAAATAAACTTTTTGTATCTGTTGACTTATTTGTTATGTAACACTGTTTGACCAAAATATTTCCTTTAAAGATAGAAAAGTGATACATTATTTCAATATAAAAGAGACTTATCAACTGAAAGTGCCCAAGTGTTACAACTAAATAGCACAGTGTATAAAAAAATTGTTAAACTACAAGATTCAAACCCTTACATATACTTTATAAGTTGGTAGTCATCTTTCTTTTCTCAACATTTATGTGGTTCAAAAACAAATTATTTAATAATTTTCATTTTTCTATCTTTCAACATTTTATTCATACAATACATAATGACTAAAAATAATTAACATTCACTTCAATGCTGCAAAACATAACCAATATTATTTCTATACATACATAGGTTGAAATATTACAAAGACCAAAGCATTTGAATGGCCTTGCAAACTCCGACATCATTAAAATTAAAGTTAATTAGCCCAGCAAAACCAATGATAGACAGAAGATACCACAGCTTGCCCACCCAAGGAACAAATTTCACCAAATAGTCATTCAGTACTCCATCAATACCGCAGAATCCATGGAGGAAAACAAAAGTAGTGAGCAAATGATCCATTGTAGATCCCTGAATGAAAAGAGCAGCTGGCATAATCCCAACCATTCCTAAAGTAACAAAACGCTCAACTTTCCAATGACTTGAAGCCATCATGATATGACTCTTACCACGTTTCTCCTCTGGTGTGAATGGACCTCTTCTAGCCCTAAAATATTCAATGGTCGCTAGTGCTGGGCTAGCTGTAAACTGCTTCGAAATTACATCTGTGTTTGCATATGATGGCTGAGGTCTCATCTGCAGCAACAATCTGCTACCCCTTGAACAAGTTCGAAGAAGTGCTACAGTCGCCACCTTGACATTTTTTTTTTTTTTTTTTTTTTTTTTTTTTTTTTTTTTTTTTTAATTTGTTTTGTTTATTCAAAGCTGGAAATTTGTAAGCATAAAATGCACAATGAACACGATTTTAAAAACAATAAGACCAATACTTTAAAATCTGGCGTCGCTCAGTGAACATATCAAGTTTGCGAATAGTATATACATTAGATTTCTCCAGAGTTAAGTCCAATTATATATAACATCTGACATTCTGCACGAGTGAGCAAGACTCAAATTTTCCGAGAATTTAAAAATAATTTAAGCTGGTCTGGATGATAAATGATACATGACTTGGTAACTATACTCAAAAAAAAGTAAAAAATAAAAATGATGACATTGCAACTTGGATGAAAATCTTGTGAGTCCTTGATGCTTTTATCTGCTGAAAATAGTTGAATAAATCACCAACCACGGCCACGATCGTTTCCATTAACAATTTCAACTCCAGCATCTTGAATAAGCCTTTTTGCTTCAGAAATAGCGTTTTTGCTCCCAGATAACTCAACAGAACTTCTACCAGATGAGTCGCCATCACGTGACACCTTTATCCGACAACCACTGTCTGCTTCCATGTCTCGTATTCTGCTTCCACCACGACCGATGATTCTGCCTACTTCAGATGACTCAACATAAATTGTTTCAGATTCGCCACCACCATCACCTCCAAAGCCTCTACCACCGCCGCCACCACCACCACGGCTTCCTCTATCATAATCATCTCGCCTACCCCATCCATCGCCGCTATCACGTTCTCTTCTGCCCCATCCTCCACCGTCATCTCTTCTGCCATATCCTCCTCCACCACGTCCTCCACGCCCCCCGCCATATCCACCACGTCTACCTCCACCACCATTATAATCACCACCACTAAGGCATTCTTCAATTAATCTCTTGGCATTTTCAATCTCTTCCGTTGTTCCACTGATTTCAACAGATTTCATTCCATCCTCATCCTCATCTCTGGATATTTTGATTCTGGCATTACTGTCTTGTTTTAGATCTCTGATTTTACTTCCACCACGACCTATGATCTTTCCCACATTTGAAGACTCAACCATCATTGTTGTTGAACTAACGCCGCCACCACGGCCTCCGCCAAAAGATCCGCTAAATGACATTTTGTCTAGATGTGTTGAGAACGCTACAACTCTGGAACTGTGATATTTGCAATTGAAAAAATAATAACAGTGTTTAAGAATAATGCGGAACAAGTGATCGACATTGAATGGTATGTTTTCGGATTTTAACGCAAAATGTGTGCACGTAGTGTACTGTTTCTAAATATATAAATATAGACAATTTTAATTTTTACAAAAGACGTTTGCTTAATGTTATCGTCAGTTTTTAAAACACAAACTTTCTATCTACGTTTAACTGCGTTTTGTTCCTATAACGTTAAATGTAGATTTTTACCATGAACCAGAAAGCGATGATAATGCACGTTTGTCAATGTTGTCTCCCTTGAATAGTTAAAATTCAAGCAAAAGCAACTACTGTTAAGCAAGTTTTTTGTTTTTTTAAATAATTGATATAAAAAGTACATATATACGGCAATTCTAAACTGATTGACACTTTTAATTAAACTTATTTAATCGTTTAGTTTAAATACAACACTACTTACATTGTAGGATTTACGTATCAGCTTAAACAGGTATTAGGTTAGTTTCCCAACTTTTTGGGGGGCCCAAAGCCGTCAATTATTGAGTCATGTTTGGGCCCCAAAGAAAGTTGGGAAAATAACCTAATGCCCGTTTAAGCTGATACGTAAAACCTACAATGTATATAGTGTTGTATTTAAACTATACGATTTTAGGAATATATGCACTTTTTTTTTATAGCATTGTATTAAAAAACTTGACCGTTATAGGAATAGATGCACTAGTAAAATGCATACTGTTATGCTTTAAAATTAACTTTAAAATAATTTAAATATAATATAAATATAATTTTCTCATAAAATAAACTTTTTATGTCTTCAAGACAATACGTTTTTGAAACTGAAACATGACATTTTGTAACATAACTAATGACAACAATCGTCACAACAACTTTAATGTTTGAGAGTTTGATTTTGTTTAATATTGACTTCTACATTATTTCTTCATACGACGTTTACATTTTCGCTTCTGAATATGAAGTCTAGATCATCTCTCGATGGTTGAAAACATAAACAGATGTCAGTTTATCCATCAAATCTCAACCGTGTTTTGTAACTTTCAGCCGACTTAATATAACTAGGGAAACTGTATAATATGCTGGCAGTATTTATTTAAAATTCACTCACAATCATTCTGCAGGGAAATTATAGTATGCATAACATTAAGTTTAAGCATTATAATCCATATTGGGGCAGTTGGCAATTAAGTTAAGAATGGGTAAGTTCGACAGTTAAATATTTTAATTTATCCAAAAATCAAAAAAAAATTAAGAATATTAGGAGTTGGATTCGCGTTGTTACATTGTTGATTTCAGTTTAGACAATTCTTTTGAGACAGCAATTTATTAATGTGCTAGATTCAATTGTTTATTGATTTTTATTTACATAATTCTGTAATAGGTACATATAAAAATACACAATAGTGATTTGATGATTAATGATCGCGGCAAATAGTATTGATCATGTTTCCTTGTATTTAATTTGACGACGCAAGTTATATGTTATAAATAGTTATGAGGTCAATAAGAAGAAAGGAGAAACAGAGCATAGAGTAGTCAGGTAGAGCAATAGAATTACTGGTCACGTGAGACGGTCAGATGACCACTGAAGCGTGTGGTACTGTTAGCAGTTGAAGAACGATGGTGTAGTGGTCAGTTGTAGAGTTGGTCAGTAGAGGGTGTAGCGGTCAGTTGTAGAGTTGGTCAGTAGAGGCTGTAGCGGTCAGTTGTAGCGTTGGTCAGTAGAGGGTGTAGCGGTCAGTGGTAGAGTTAGTCAGTAGAGCGTGTAGTGGTCAGTAGAGGGTGTAGCGGTCAGTTGTAGAGTTAGTCAGAAGAGGGTGTAGCGGTCAGTTGTAGAGTTGGTCAGTAGAACATGTAGGACAGTTAAAATGTAGATAGTGTTAGAGTTGGTCAGTAGAGTATGTAGGACAGTTGAAATGTGGGTAGTGTTAGAGTTGGTCAGTAGAGTTGGTCAGTAGAGCGTTTAAGACAGTTGAAATGCGGGTAGTGTTAGACCATGCAGATTTGTTACTTTGAATGGAGTAATAAGGTCCTTCAGTTGTTTTAGTTACAACACTATCACTTTACCATATGATCTAGACATTGAAGAGTCGGTTTTTTATTCGAAGATTTATCGTCACTACAAATTTAGTATAAAATATTACTTTTGTTAAAATACGGAGAAACATTATATTTATTTAAAAGTAATTCGACTTTATGTTTACGTTTTATTGGTTTTAAACATACTTTGTACAAATCAAAAACTGTAGCGATTTTTTATATTTTAGCCACTTTTTTTATTACGAAATTTTATTAAGTAAGAATTATTTGTCCATATCACCCAAAATCAAGCCACATTAAAGTCTATAAAAACTGGAAACTTTACTACGGATGATTATTGGAAAGGTCATGATTTAGAAATAACACAAAGTGATGCTGAGGATGAACAAAAAGAATCCTCTCACACTAAGACAAAAATGTTGTAGATATGTCAGGCTGCGACAAATAGTGAGGGAGATTTGTTCAGGAAAATGGGAAAGTTGTATTGATCTCACAACTAAGGTACCATACTTAAGTAAGGACATAACGGTCACTGGGAAAAACATTTGCGAGAAAAAAAAAAGCAACAATCGAACAGAGAATTTTTCAGGGTCATAGATAAGTTAGAACAGTTTTTAATTTTTTTGAACAAGTATTCAAAAAAGTAAAAGTTTCATTTTATATTTAATTGCATTACAGTTTTAATAAAATATTGATTTTACTATGCAATTTATGCAAATTTTCATACATTAAACTTACTTTTATTTTTTTTATTTATCATGTAAAGTATTAGTTGTGTAATATTATAAAGTTTACTTGTATTAAAGTAGTTTATTAGCTGTTTTTTTTAGATTTGTCGCCATTACACTCTCTCTGAACAAAAAATGGTAAATTAATCTGTAAGTATTTTATAAAAACATAATATTTATTTCGACATCTAAACTGATTGAAACATTTAATTAATAAGATACGAATTGAATTATTTGATATGAAGGTAATAAGGTAGGCTATGTGATGAAGTAAATTTAGACATTTAGACACAATTAAGTAAAACACAGTAGAGAGGTAGAATAGTTTAGAATATTATCTATTTCAAGCAGTCTCAGTAGGTAGGAGTAAGTACCAATCACATAGCCGACCAATCAAAAGAGAGATGAGCAGTCACGGTCAGTTGGTCAGAGATAGCGTCAGTTGGCAGTCAAGCGTGTAGAAAGTCAGTCGAGTGTTAGAAGCAGTTGAGCAGAGATAAATTACAGTTGTGGTGTTTCAGTTGATAGAAGTGTAAAAATATCGTCAAGAAATAATGGAATATGTTTTATTGAATGAGAAGTGTAGTATACTAGATATCGATATAATTAAGACTTTGGATATTTGAAATTGTGTAAAAATAAAAACGTTATTTTATTGAACTTGGAACAGTGTCAGTGGTGCTATATTTCACAATGAAGAAACTCTCAGGCCTCACATAAGAAAGACAATACCCATACACATATACAAACAGTATGTATAAACATTATCGCAACACAACATATGGTAGAGCTGTGGAATTTTCAGCCTCTACAGAATTGTGTGAATTTAGCGGATTAGCACAAAATGGAAGAAAAACGTGGCGCTGTCGACTTAAGTGAAAAGATAAGAAACTTCCTTAATCGCTTTAAACGTATGGGATTAATCCCGTGTTGGATTTGTTTTGTACCAGATGTGTTTCTGTCTTATGTGTTTTATGTGTTACTCATAGCTGTTTATTCCTATGGTCCAATGCAATTATTTGATCTATTTTTAGTAACACATCACAAGCACTAATGTGAGTATATATTTGGGATATAAAGATTTTAGTACAGTTTGTCTGTGTTATGTAACTGTGATAAATAATATAGATTTACAATTAGTAAGTCAGTTTTCAGCTTTTTTCAAAAGTAAGTATGTCCATAAATAGCAGCAAAACAAGATTCATTTTGACCGGCGAATGCACGTTTATTTCATTTACCGACATAAGCACTTTCTTTGCTTACACTGACCATGAGATCCTTTTGACTGATTTGGTGAGCCATGTGACATAATTATCCAATCACACGCTGAGATGGATATTAGGGTTATTCGTATGGCAGGACTAGGGTTGGGGTTAGGGTTACATGCAACGTATGATTTTAGATACTGATGTCCGAAAATATAATTGGTGATTTGGGTAGTTAGTAGTATTATAATCTCGACTTATGTTATTGTTAGAAATTAGGGTTATTCGTATGGCAGGACTAGGGTTAGGGTTAGGGTTAGTGACAGGGTTAGCATTGACATTAAGCGATCAATGTGTGTATTTAGTTAACTACCAGTAACCTAACACCCCTTTTTAAATAGGATTCTATTATCGGACACTGGTATAAATATTCCCCCATGAAACTATGTTCGCATCAACTACAACATATAAATTCGGCTTTCTATAACTCGGATGACACGCTATGTGTAGGCCTATATTTAACTTCAGTCTGTCAGAATATATTAGTCTTATAACAGCATTTAGGATTAGCTAATAATAGATGTAGACTGGCTGATCTTCAGATTTCAGCAACAGTAAAGTATAATTATATAAGTAGATCAAGACCCGATAGCAATGTAATGTAAGGTAATTTTTGTATATAATTATATGTTTACTTAATTAAAAAAAAACAAACATAGAATACTCGTTTCAGGCTTGTTCGAATTTCAGAAAAAAAATTGGAAATACCTCTTTTAAAAAAAAAAATTAAAACAAGTTTCAACAATATGTCATTTTTGTGAGTGCTATCGAAAATCTCTGTTTTAATGAATATTGACTATGATGCTTGCTGTCTGTTAATCGGTAAAAATAATATTAAGTATGAAAGTTATGTATGTGTAATGGTTTCTCGCGTTATGTTTATTTTTATGTTTTTTTTTATTTATACTATTAGTTTTAAATACATTTCCTTTTAATGCTTTGTCATTCTTTATTAT